AGTTTAAACATTAGTGGGGTCTCATCGATCCTTGACTTTAACCAGACTTGGGGCTTACGAGGCACAAATCCCAGCTGGCATCTGTTCTTGGAGAGGACATTAGAAAAGAAGTCTGAGTGGCTCCCCAAAAAAATTTAGAGAAACAATGCAGAGTGCTCTGAGTACAAAATTTGGTCAAAAGTCAAACCAATGCATTTTGGTTTTCAAGGATTTTTTCTGCAGTTTGAAGGGGGATCTAACGAACACTCAGAATTGCATGTGCAGAAAATTAGGGTTTAGAATTTCAACATTTCTCCTCCCTAAAAGACAAAGGCATATGTAGGTGGGTGGAAACAGAAGGTAAAAACAAGTTACCAGCGAGGCAAACCGACCTCCCTGGCTTCAGCGAGCAGACCCCATCGACGGGGTGGGACAGGACAAATACCACGTGGCGCGCAGGGTTTGTTGGGCTCAGGCACCATGCTCCAGCCTGAATGCTCTTTTAGTCAACAGTGACTTCATGCTCATTGCTTCATGCTTATTTTTACCTCTGCTGTGTACCTTCACCAACGTTGGCCATCAGTCAGATATTTTAGGTACCCGAAAGAATGAAGAAGCTACTTAGCTTTATGTCCTACAGGTACATCTTTACCAAAGCAGGACCTGGGGAGCTACAGCTCATCTGTTCTCCCCAGTGGGACAATACCCACCACTTGCTGTCCCTCTGCAAAGCCAGAGACACAAATATGCTCTCTGCAGGTCTGCTGGGGCTGATTCAGGATTTGCAGCAGCTTTTGTATCCTTTCAGATCTTTTTCTTTTAACCATCCCTATAAACCGGACCTGCCAGACCTCTTACTTTTCTGCAGGCCCATCTTTGCCTAACAAAGAAATCTATGCAGCAATCCAATTTCAGCTACCAGTGGGTGCTTTTATTCCTCTGTAAAAACTGTGAGGTTGTTTTAACACTGAAATTGGACATTGACTTCTGCTGAAAAGGGAATGCATAGACAGGCAGAAGTTTGCATCCAGCATCCGTCACAGTAAAACCAACCGTTGCTGTAACCTCATCAGCACCCAACCCCTTCAGGCCAGCCCCAGCATCAGCGAGACACCTCAACTGCAGAATATAAATTGTGCTGTAAATCTTATCTTGAAAATGTATTTATTTTTTTAGCTGGAGTCTGTTGTGAGAGTTCCTTTCCTCACTTGCCCTTTTAAAACCAACAAAACCCCCAAACTCAACAACTTGAAGGTATTAACCTCTCTGGGGAGCAGAGGATGCTGTGAGGCAGCAGCTCATGCCGCACTTCAGTCCACTGAAATTGGCACAGAAGAAAGCCAAAGATCAAAAGAGCTAAGTACACAGGCAAGGTGGGCGAGGAGAGGGATGGGAGAAGAGCAAATATGACAGCAGTTATTCAGGGAGCCGCTTCAGATCCGAGGAGAAAGAAAACGGGGAGGGGAGGTGAGAGAGAAAAATGTTAGAAAATAAGAGAGAGGAAGAAGCTGTATGTCAACTGTACGCAACGGAGAGGAAATTAGCAGTGAGAAATGGTGTGGCATGTCAGAGGAGGGGAGAAAGGAAGATAAGGAGAGTAAATAATTGAGAGAAAGAGCCTGTAACGCATGAGAACGGGTCTTGGCTCTGCACACTGCTGTGCAAGCGCTGTGAGTTCTGTTTATAAATGAGTTATGCTCTGGCCTCTTCACATTTGCATTTGGTTTTTATGCATTACAGATAACCTAGCAAGCCAAACCTTCCTACTTTTTCTTCAAGATGGGCTCCCAAACATGCCAATTTGAATCCTGACTGATGAGAAGCAAACCAGAGCTGGCAACCAAAAGGTGAGCAAACACAGAGCCCTTGGGCTGACTCTTCAAGAGCAGAAGAGAGCATCTCTGCCCCAGCTCGGTACTGGCCACAGCTTCCCCTCACTCCCTCACAGCAAGCTCAGAGGCACACTCTGCTTCACATCTCTGTGCTCCGGGATGCTCGTGACCATGCCATGGAGTGGAGAGCATCTTTTTGCTTGCAAACCCTGCAGGGTACGGGATTTTCCATTCAACAGTGTTTTGTGCCCTGGAGGCAGCCAGGACCTGAATGATTATTAAAAGTTGTGGCATGTTATCATTTAAATGGAGGCTGGGGGAAGAGGGAGCAGCAGAGCCATCGCTGGTCCCACACGTGGGTGCGCACCGCCCTGGGCCACCCACACCTGCAAGGATGCCCATCCTCCAGCCCAGCCACGGCTGTGGCTCACTGCAGAGGACTCCTGACAAGTTCAACCCTTCCAGGGTTATGCAGCACAAGTGTATTTGGCTGCTATTCAGTAATTACATTAAGCCAGCGCTGCTAAAGTCAGTACCAAGCAGAGATAATGCTCTGGACGCATTCAACTGGCGGGAAGAAGAAAGAGGAGGAAAAGCCATGCTGGCTTAGAGACAAGTCATATTTCTTATCAGCTTCCTGCCTGATGAGAAGGTGCTGCCCAGCCATCTGCCCCTACAGCGCGGGCACAGAGCAACGTTGTGATCAATGCACAAAGGAGTCCTCTGTGCTCCCTGCCAGCCTCCCTGCCATTTCCCCCTTTCTGACCCCTTTGATGCTGGATGTGGTTCCTTTTGATGCTCCGGTCCCTGCACAGGGAGAGACGATGGTCTCCCTGCTCCTCTCCCCTTTCTGGAATTGCATGCTGCAAACAGGCAGGATTTTATGCTGGAATAGTCCAGACCGGAATCCAAAGCATCCCAGGGTGTTTGGAGGCTGTTTTGTAGCATGCTGACCTGATGCTCTGGCACCCTTAACCAGACAGAATTAGCCCTGAGTATAAATATGAAGCTTTTTGGGCCCTCATTGTTCACCCTTACTCTCTGAGTCAGACAGATGCCATCAGTGAAACAAAAGCATTGAGAACAAACAGCAAGGAAGCCTCTGCATGCGTATGACAAAGATTTAGTGTGGAAATTCAAGACAAAGAGCCCTGGAAATAAACACTTCTATTAGCTGGTACATGGACTCCCTCTCGCAGCAGCACATTCCTTCATCTACCTTCCCCCAAAATACTCCGTTTGGTTTTAAGAAGTGCCATTCCAGTGAAAGGTCTTGCACTGGCATCTCCCAGTTGTTGCCCCATTCATCCTCTGAGATTATAAAGTCACTGAGAGTAACACTGGACACTCTCCCAGTAGCTGAGGAGGGAGAAGCCCAGTCCTTTCTTATCAGGTAGAACAGAGCCTTGATGCCCAGACACCCACCCAAGCCGCTGCAGCGTGGGAAGGCACCAAGCACAAGGGAGGAGAGCAGTGTGCCCGCAGCCTGCAACCAACAGGAGGTAAAAATGTGCAAGCTGAAAGCAGAGCAAGAGAGATTGGAGGGAGTGGAGGAAAAAGTGTGAGCATAAACCTGAGAAAGTAAGATTTCAGGAAATATATTCAACCTCACACAGAGCGGATTAGCGTGGCTCAGCTGATGCTCAGCAACTTGCCATTTGCCTGAGCCTTCAGTCATTGTCACCACCGGCCCAGCTGTGAGAAAGGCTCTATGTGCCACTTTTTACTCACATTGAGACAAAATACAGGGTTTTGGGTGGCTGTTGTCTTCCCTGACACAAAGCCATTCTCAGTGAATCAATGTAAGGGCACCTACCTGCAACCACAGATACTTTCCATGGAAGGAGTGAGAAAATAATAATTTTCTTAGCAGCCACCACTCTATTTATCCAAAAATGGCAGATAAATCCCTATTTTGTAACAGTAAGCATATAAGATAAGAAAAAGAGAGGGCAGGGAAAAAGCCTGAGAACAGACAACAAATCAGGTAACACTAACCCCTAGGAAACTGCTCGCTAGTGGTACAAGCGATGATTTATTCAAACTCGGATATAAAATAAGCCTGCAGTAGCCCTCTACTGTCTGTTATTGTCCCAGGATTATGTTAATTAAGCAATTTGTATTACCTGATACTGATAAGAAAAATAAACCCACGTTTATGACACCGTATCCCCTGGATTTTACATGGCAGTTACTAAATGCGTTTTTGTTACCTGGTGAACATAATATTCAAGATCATAAAGCGCTGCTACTTTTTCATCCAGCGTGGAGGCAGAGCTGTTGAATTTGCTGATTAATTTAACCATAATTTCATAATCTGTTTCCACCTTCACGTTCAGCTTTTCAAACTCTTCCTTCAGCTGCTCTATGGGCCGGAACTTCTTCCTCACCTCTTCCTCGTGGGCCTTGAAAGCAGAAGGAGGAAACCAGATATGAAGGCAGGTGATAAAGAGAGCCAAGAAAGACGAATTAAACCCCAGCCTCAGCTATAGGAGGGGAACTTGGCTGCCTATGCAAATAGATTTACAGCTGTGCATCAGAGATACAGGGCAGCATTGGAGGGTCCTTCTGAGACCTGTATCATACCCACCTTGTGCAAAATCAAGCACTCCATGAGGAGCTGAGTCTGTACCTAGTGCTTTGTACACTATTTCTACATCCTATGCGCCTTCCAAAACAACATCAGGCAGGCAGCACTGCTGTTCTCCATATGCCTGCAAATGGATGTTCTTAAGACCTGACTGCAAAAAGCCCTGAGCAACCTCCCTGATCTTACAGCTGACCCTAATTGGAGCTGGAGATGGGACTGGAGACCTCCAGAGGTCCTGTCCAGCCTGAACTGTCCAGTGACTCCATGCCAGTGACATCAAGGAGATCTCCTTGGATACATACAAAGCTGCTTTCTTCATCCCAATTACTTGACATGTTTCAAGATAGCTTCATCTTTCAGGGCCAGCAGCTGTCAGAAAGCAAGGCAGGAGGACTGGCTGCAATACAGGGGCAGCTGAAGTGCTTGTGCCACGGGGCTTGGCCAGGAGATAGCTCATCCTGCAGCATGGCTCATCTCTCTCATACAAACAGCACCTGAAGGGCTTTGATGAACCCAGAGAGCTGGGGAAAGGCATGTGATGAGAAGGAAAAGGCTCTGCCAGAGGTTTGAGAGTGTCCCAGAGCCGGCAGGGCCCAATTCTCCAACATCAGCACTGGTGGCACTGGCCCAGACAGGGACAGAGCCTGCTGCTGCAGGGGATGGAGGAAGCAGAGAGGCCAGACTGAGGATGGGCTGCCCCAACAGCAGGAGAAAGTAAGAAAGTCACTTTTGAAAGGGATTCTGTCATGAACACAAATACCAAAATACATTTTTATACAAGAGTGAACGGCAACTAGAGGGTTTGCGTGTGCAGGGCTTCCCCCCAGCACATCCTGCCCCGCTCCTCTGTGAACAGAACCCAAGAGCTGGAGCTGTCGGAGAAGAAAAAAATGGGCGATGGAAGTGAAAGTCCTGACACTCTAATGGCCGCTGTACAATCACTGCTAATGACTACTGGCCTAATTACTACAGGTACCAATGCAGTACCACAGAACGCCATCCCCTGTATTGCTTTCGCAGGAGCATAGATGGAAGCACACTTGGTGTAACTCAATTTACTTTGACACAGTTACTTCAAGAATGAATTTGCTCCCTGCAGGAGTGATTTTAAATGGAGTACTTTAGGTCCATTAGCTGTAGCTGTTTTTAGCCCAGTTGCTGGGACAATAGCTATTCTAACAGAGTTTTTTAAAACATGGCTTATTTTCACATAATAGGGTATCACTAATTTTTGCATTTAAATGACACTCATTTCAAGAAGTCAGTAATGCTGGCTGCTACATAAATAATTTTACAGAAAATGAAATAATGCCCTGGTGCCAGATAGGGGGAAAAAAGACTTTCTGTGACTCCAAGACTTTCTAACCTTAACTCCTACCTCAGTTCTCCTATGACTAAGGCAGCAGGGCAGCAGGAGGAGCTAGGGCTTAAGGAAATACTGCTGAGGGGAAGAGGGGAAAAAGGCGGTGAACCACCTGATGAGTCACAGATCATCCCAGCAGTGTCACGCCAGTGGCTGGGGACCAGCTCCAAGCCTGGAGATGCTGCAAGCAGCACTTATATTCTGTTTTACTTTGGATTGTGGACTGTTTGTAATTAAATAGGAAACCTAGAGCTTGTATAAGGAAACTTCAACCTATGCTTCACCGCAGCCACTTTTTACTACCCAGGGCATGAAACTGGAAACTTAAACGATGAGATCACTTCTGGATACAGCTGTGCCAGTGGCAGGGGATGCCATGTCCAAGTGACTTGTCACGGTCACCAAATCCAGAACTGAAGCACCTCAGCTGCACAATGCCTTTTGTACTCCTACACAGTAAAAGGGGGACAGCAAAGTAACTTCTTTGACAAATATCATGCTGCAATCCATTCCACTTTGGGGGTTTGCAGACATTTTTGTGAACACAGCAGCAGTTGAACACATAAATCAAAACGACGGATAAAAATACATCCAAACGATGGAAAGGAAATCAGCCTGTGGGTTCACACAAGTGTTTGCAAGTTACTTTTTTTGCATTATTAATTCAGGTCTAATCACATCATATCAGAAAACTTAGGGGAGCAGCACCACACCGGAGAGCTTACCGACTATACGTGCTTTGGGATCAGGAAGATCCCACAGCCTCACTTTAGCACTGGTACGCCAAGAATGGCAGTAAGAAATTTGGTATCTAGATGGCTCAGGAGGACGGTTATGTGGATATTGTGTATCAGGTTTGCTAGCTGACATCCCACACACTTGAGTAAAGACCAGAAAGCAGCAGTATCTGATGGCTGATCTGTTGCTAAACTCCCAATCCCAGCCTGCTCCATCACCGCAGTCCCTCTCCCCTCAACAGCCCACAGGATAATTACTACAAAGAAACACCTTGAACAGTGAGAATATTCTTAAGTACTTATAAGCAGCTTGCAACACAAGGTCTTTATGTTAGAAATGAATAAAACAGACCTGAACGAAAGGTTTCCAGAAAAACCAGGATTAGTATAAAAAGGGGTGAGCGTTTCCCAGGGAACTACAACACTAACAGGCTAGCAAAGGTATTTAGGTCCATATTCACCAGAAGATTAGTCTGCATGGTATTTTTCCCAAGCAATTACTTTAACCATCATATTTCTGAGACATGTAATGTAGGGTGTTCGCATCTATGTGCTGTGCGCTTTGCTTTAGCAACAGGGAACTCTCCTTACCTTTCTTTCTGCCTTCTCACTTTCCTTCATTTTAGCCAACACCTTTTTGAGCTCCTGGGATGTGAATGAATTTGAATCAACATCCACCTTGCCCAGCCTTGAAGAGGAAACAAAAGAGAACATGTTATGAGTGAACAATTGTATCTATAATATTTGCACTGTGATATACTAGCAATGGATAATGGCAGGAGGAAAGGAACTAAGAGTGCTAGATATTCACGCATCTCCCTTAAAACACAAAAAACCCCTCCACACTCAAGAAACATTAGTGTGAGTGCTGTATTTTGTGTGTGGTTTGCAGACACCTCACCCTGACAATCAAAAAAAGCTCTGTAACATGCATGCCGACTCAAAATCTGAAGTCCTAACACAATAAAGATAGCTGATTAATTTATGCCTTTGAATTTCATGCAGTAATGTAGAAAAGCGGGAAATGTTTCAGAGGAAAAACAAAAAAGCAACACCGTGCCACTAAATAATTGCTAAGGACTTGCAAGCTTTAACATGGAGATTTACAGCCTAAGTTCTGATGGTCATCACGCACAAAGTTAGGGCAAGGTTAAATCCAAGCAGAAATCACACAGAAATGCTAAAAAATATACTGTGTTGCTCTTTGTGCCTATCTCATTGATTCAGAGTGCTTATCTCTTTTACAGAAAAAAAAGGAAATCAACTGTTGAGGCATGATGAAGCTCAAGAGCCTCTCCATGCTCTGCACAGGAGTGACTAGGGGAGCAAGAGAAGCAGGGGTAAATCCCACACACTTTAGGACAGAAAGTTCCCCACAGGAACCAAACCTGTCTCAGTTATGAGTGTGCCAAGGGGAAAATCGGCACCAGTGAAACTTGTAAAACAAATGTTAAGATGTGGGAAGGCTGTGTGATGTAAGGAGAACGTCAGCAATAACCGAAGTGCAAGCCTGCTGACTGCACCCAGTTAAAAACAATGTTATCTGGCTCAGGTCAACACAAACAGAGACCCTCACAACTGCTCCGACGGTTTAAGCTTTAAAAGTAGTTTCAGAGCAATTGCTGCAGATGTTTCCAAGCACTAAATGTCATTCGAAGAAGTCACGTTGCAAATTTAGTGTCGGTGTCATGGCATGAGAAGCCACGAAGGTGTCTCTGCAGACATACTCAGGGCACTTCTACCACCATCCCAAAGGGATCACAAAGGACAGGTTGAACCCTTCAACCAGCGATTAAGTCTCAGGAAGAGATGGTAACTGAGTGCACCAGGGAACCTGGCCTCTAATGAAAGACATGAATCCTGCAGCCCACCCACCTGTGATGCTTTGCATCACTGTGCCTTTTTCTTCTCTTTTCTCTGCTGTCACTTCTTCCATTTTCGCTATCTGCGAGCTTGGCTTCTCTGTCTCCCGTCTGCAGATTTAATCGTACGTGTGACCCGGCAGGAACAGCTTGACCTACAAACAAAGGTTGGGCTATTTTAGAGCATGCACGTTATTTCAGCTTTGTGCACAAAGGGCGAGCTGGAGGTGCACACTTCTACCCGAAAGATATGAAAGCCTCAGCCCACACAGTGAATAGGAGCGGGCTGTCCACCACTGGTCACTCTTCCCCTTATCAACACCTTTTAGACACGAGTGCCATTTAAACCTCACAGAAATGCCACCTTGACCCACCAAACGCCTCCCTGGGCTGGCTCTGTACTGCAGGGGAGGGATCCTGAGCAGAGCAGAGCATCAGCTCCTTCCTCCCTCTTGAGCCAATTCCTAACAGAGCACTAAAACTCCACATCAGGAGCAGATTTGGAGACTATTTGGAGCAAGGGGAATTGGGTAGAGAGCATAAAACACAGCTGCCAAAATGAAATCAAAGCATTCCACAGAGTACAGCCAGGTACGCTGAATATCAAGTGTACCAAGGCAAAGCAGTGTTGGTTTGGAAATATTGTATTAAAAGGAATATATGATCACTACTATCTGCCAACAAAAATACAAGGAATACATTAAGCTTGGTTTTAAATGCAAAAAAGATGGGAGTTTTTTTTCTTGGTCACAATTCATCCCAAACACATCACAATGGCCAGCCGTGGCTGGGATGGAGAGGTGGCAATACTTGGTTGCGTCTTGATGTTGCATCCTCCTCTTTTAATGAAAGAAATCTGCCTGCTTAGGAGAGTGAGGCTGCAGCTGAATGAATACGGAGATCTCAGCTGCACATGGATGGACAGACACACAGCTGCTCATGTTCCTCTGTCTTGTTGAGGCTTCCCTATTCAGCCTTTCATTTATCTCTTTCCTTCTACCTAAAAAGATGCCTAGAATAAAATAACACAGCATGCAGAAGACAGGTAGCATTTCCTACCAAAAGGAAGTGAAGACAAGGATAATTATGTCATACAATAAATACATGTACCCAAAGACAAAATGCTCTAGTCGAGGGAATGACTGGATTGATCCCTCCCTCTTCAAGACCAAAGAGACATTTCACTGATCAAAGGACCTGGTGCTTCCTACAGGAGACTGGGATGTTTGTCACAGTTCAGACAAAAACATTTCAAAGCCTGAAGCCATCCAGTAGCTATAAATGCATTTAGAAAAACAGGAAAATCCATTTTGGAGGATTTCCTATTATGACAGGGTGCATTTCTGATAGCTCCTCTTTCTCTCCACCATACCCTGTCCGTAGGAAGTTGCGTTGGTCAGATACGTGAGGGGACAGACCTGTTTATCTTCTCGCCTTAAACTCTGCAAGGACAGATACGCCTCCTCCGCACTTGGCTCGCTGTCCAGCAGTCCCAAACTTCCTCCTGCTCCTTTACTTGCGATACGCAGGAGAGTTTTAATTTGGGTGTCTAGACTGTCTAGAGGAGCACCTTCCCACCTTGAAAAGGTGAGCTCTGCAGAAATTCACTGCAATAGCTGAGCTGTCCCCTTGCAGGCGATGCAGGCAACACAGCTGAGATGTGTCAGTTGAAGAGGAGTTTGTAGGATCTCCACTAAAAGGATGACACCACATCTCCTCTTCGTGTTTCAAGAGACACCTTGGACAGTGAACTGCCACCAAGGAAAAGAATACATAAAATGGCACTTCATGCTGAACATACAGATGCTCGAGGATGTCTTCCTCCTCCACAGGCATGAGCAGCACTCAGTGGGGGAGAAAGCGAGGGGCAAGATGGGTCCTTTCCCTCCCAAAGCCAGTGGCTTTCCTCGCCAGGCCACAAGCACTGGGACAGCCCAGGTCACACCCACAGCACTCACTGAAGCACATCCTGAACTGTCGAGAACAGCCAGAAATAAATGTCCCCGTTAGAAGAGTACAGTATATTCTGGTTTGTCGTGCTGCCGGTGCATCTGGCCACATTAGTTCACTCGGTTGCCAGGGGAGAGGAACACGGCTGATAGGCTTTCCTTAAAAGAAACATCGAAAGGGAATGTGAGGAAGCAGCCTCCAGAAGGGCTGAGCAACTCCTGTGTGACCAGTCCTCCCAGTTTCTATTTTCAGTGAGCAGTAAATAAAAGAAAACGTGAACCCCAGTGCGCACGAGCTCGAATTAAGGAGGTTGCCACCAGAGAAGACACAAACCTTTCCTGCTTCTGCTTCTTCACATGTTCCTAAACAAGATTTGACTGAGACCATCCAAACCCCAGAGCAGAAATCTCAGCCCTAATGTATTTAAGCAGCTTTCATTGCTACAGGGATTTCCTCTCACCACCATGCGCAGTAGCACAGGTTCGTGCCACAACAGGCCAAACATGCTGCTTTATTAAATAAACCACGACAGATGTCGCTGTTTTCAGTAGAAAGAGTGCTGCAGTCACTTAAAATATTCCAGATGTTTGAGGCAGGATGGAGTCTTCAGACTCGTCAAGTTTGGGGTATTTTCAAGTATTATTTATAACGTGTGTTGGAGGGTGGGTTGACTTGAATAATGTGATTAAAATTGCTGATTTAAATGAGGAAGCTGGAAATCCTGAATTTTAATCATGTTTCAATATGTAGCTTCTAGACACTTCCCTTAAAAATAGTTGATTCTCTTTGATTCCTATAATTTGATACCATTCAACAACTGGGACCACGCACTGGAGCAATACATATGTAAGCAATTACACAGCTTCATGTGCTGTTGATACAGAATCACACTCTTAATAGCTTTTTTTCCCTAGAGGAATTCATTTTTTACTTATTGCTTGTATTAAGTCACATTTGGGAAATGAAACTCAATTTAAAAACATAAAAACAAGTTTATGTTTAAGCAATTTCCTGGCCTTTTTTCTGCTTGACACCTTAGAAAAATAAATGACGTCTATCCAGGCAGCACTGCACACCTGTGTCACTGGATGAAGCTGAATGGTCATCAGATCACTTTCCAGAGATCTCCAAATCCCAAAACTGCTAGATCTCATCCCACCCTATACCCTTGCTCCTTAGAAAGGGAAAGAAGAGTTTCCATTCTAATTAAATTCCCACCTCCAAACCGTCTACACAGTGAGTAGAGATAGCTGCAAAAACTCCTCCATGAACGCGTAGAAAAGGCCATAGTCAACAGAGGAGGAAGCCAGCAAACTCCTTCCTCCACAACCCATTTGTAAACTTTACCACTTAAAAACTACCCCATACTTGGGAGTTTTTAAACCACAACTGAAATGATTTGAAGACGTGTTACTGCATCAACTTGGGTTGATGGATCTAAGACAAAGACACAGGATTTAAGCAGGCCACCCAGTGACCCTGACAGGGACATGCTGCTCATCTGCCCCTCAATCACTCAGCCCTTCGCCTGGCAGCCAAAAAGATAGCATCCAACAGGTAAAATACTTCCAAAGGATGACAAAGCCTTGCTGCTCCATGAAGGACAAGCTATTTATTGAGAATAAATGTCAAAGCAAAGCGTTTACTTTCCAAGCCGATCCTGTGGCAATGCGCTGCTATGATGCTGCTATTCCTGCTCTCTACTTAATCCCTTTATCTGCTGGCACCCGCTGTGGCTGCGGAGGCATCGGGACGGGCTTTGCTCTCCCACACGAGTCAGAGCATGACCACGTTCTGCCTCAGTCCACTCTCCAGACAAACCATTGCTGCGTCTGCGTTCTGCCACACATCCCAGCACCCGCAGTCTAAAAACGCGTGGTCTTTTCAAAGCCCTGCTGCTGCATTAGCATTCATCTTATTTAGATGTGGTCAGTCTGTCCTGAAAGTTGCTTAAGGTGATGGCGAGGAAGAATTTAATTTATAGCCTTATTCTTTTAATCTTGGTCAGCCAGATTTTTTCGTTTATTCCTTCTTATAATACATTAGACAGAGTAACAGCACCAGTCAGCTGCAAGGCAGCAACTCACACACAGGGGTTCTGCTGATGTTTATAAACTGATCCTATTTCTCTCTTTTATTTTATGTTATCAGCTAAACCTGTCGACTTAAATTATTGCCTTGCAACCAAATCACAGTTACCTGTTATTCTGAAGCTCTATACCTTTATCAAGCTTCAAAGAGGTTAAAAACGGGATGATAAATAAATAAACAAATGAAAAATAGAACACACTTCCGCCATGCTCACAACTAAGGTGAGACTCAGGCACATTATACACAGGATAACTAAAGCAGAGGGCTGCTGTGCTGAAGATGCATCACACAGTAATATGCAAGTAATCTCATTTCTCTTTTTCTAAACCAATCAAACTGTGCTTCCTCACTCCATGAGAAAGGTCTCATCCTGCCCAGCTCTTTTCCAGTACACTATTCCATTTAGCGCTGGCCACAGGTGGCTTTGCATTTCTGCACAGGGACAAGGCTGAGCCCCAGCTCACTACCCAGCAACAGGCAGGGACTAAATATAACCAGGGAAGTTTTGCATCATACATAGGCATACAAATCTCATCTTGAGATCATGCAATAACCTTAGCAGCAGTTTCCCCATCTCCTACTCAACCCTCAGACCCCCAGGCTGCCACCCATCGACTTGCTCAGCAAGACAAGCCCAAGAAGGAAACAAAGACTCTCTTCCTCCAGAAACACCTTCTGGTACCACTTCATCCCCTATGACAGAGAAGCGTCTTCCCGGGAAGGCTTCTGCAAGAAGAAAAAAGGGTGATCCAGCTCACCGAAGCAGATCCCCTGCTTTCTCTCCAAGTGAGCACCTCCCTTTGCCATTGCAAAAATAAAAATATAAATCTATTAATGGTGTGAAAACTGTATTGGGTTTTCTGTGAGGGGTTTTTGGTTGTGTCTTTGGTAACGGGGAAAGGGCTATGGAGATGGCCCTTTAAGAAGCTACCTGAAAAGCTCCCCGTTTTCCAAGGTCAGACCCACCTCTGACCAGGGCCAAGCCAATCAGTGCCCCTGCAAATTCATGCATTTAAGGGGGTGCAGGGCATGCTCTCTCTAGCCCTGGCCCTGTCCCAACTTTAGCTTAAGCTCTGCTGCAGCTCCATTCCGAAAAAAAGAGAGAGCCGGGAAC